TTTTGTTATTTTTTTGGAAGATCTATAAGAAGCAAAATTCGTACCTGCTACGAGCGTTCGGGGTTTACCTTCCAGTTGTGGTGGGATACAAGAATAATGGAGATGTTTGAGAATTTCATCTCGTTTCAACCTTCCTTTTTAGCAAGCGCCCGTTGCTTATTCTCAGGACATCGACGACTTAATGGCCGTTCTCCGTGATGATCAAGGTAATAATCACATAATTTCCGGATGTTATCTCTGTGAGCAACTCGAAATTCCTTTATTGCAATATTTTTAAGATGGAGGCCTCAAGGCAGGATCCTTTCAAATGGATCTTGGTGTTGGTTATGGTAGTGAAGAGTTGGCAGATCTTCTTGGTGAGGATTGGTTGGACTGTGCTGATCGCAGTATAGCGAATAATGGACAGTATGCGCCGTACCCCAACGAGCCTCACGACGTGAGTTCACCTCTTCAGAGTTCTTCTAACTCTTCCTACAGGTTCGACCAGTCACAGTAAATCCAAAAGTTTAAGTGATTTTGGTAGATGGGAGACCATTTTAAGCCCAACGGTGATATTTTGTGCCGCTTTCACTTTCTGATTTGCAACCACTTTACCACATAATCTTACTGTTCAATGGCTTATCGAGCAGACCTAAAGCGAAAGAAAGGAGAATCGTCGTAGGTTCCTGCTCTCAAAAGCGATCACTCATCAAATCAAATCAGAAATTGCGTTAAAATCACATTGGTGGAGTGACGCATTTTTTAACACACTTACGCCAACGGCAGCCCATAGGGGCTGCCAGTGACGGGTGCTCGTGCGACGATGGCAGCCCATGTGACCTGCCAGTTGGTACTCTGCAGGAACTGTTCCTATGATTCCACAGTGGCACAGAGCCCGAGTTTGGAATCGATGACACTTACTACTAGCGTGATAAGATTCTCTATCTAATACTATTGAGCAAAAATTGGCGAGGAAAGAATTAAAACATGTAGTAGCGCAATAGAGTGATATAGGTAGACAAAAATGTACATATAATCAACGAAATAAGCCCTTATTATTCTCCTATATCGAAGAATTTCTGGCGGAGCATGAGGTAGAGACGGCTTCCCATGAATCTTTTCCGCTCTTCGCAAAAACGCTCCTACCATGGTTTTGACAACTGAAAACGCGATTAAAACACTTCATTCATAAAGAGGCCTCTCGAACAAGTGGCAGGGTGGCATTAAAACACTGTCATCCCATAACAAATATAATTTTGAAACGCTTTTGGCTTGTATAGGACATGGGGAAGAAAACGGATAGCAAACGGGTAAATGCTTGCTGATGCGATGACGTTTTCAGATTTACGTTCCTCTTCAAAAATGAGAGGGCAGATCTTCACTGCTCGGGCCGTTGTGCATGATGTGACTTAGTTTCAAGGTGCCACCACAATAGAGACCTTCTAACCCACACCCCCAACCTAGAAATAAAGGGAAGCTACCAAGTGAAAGATAGGTGATCGTTTATTCAAATTTTCTCAAATTTTAAATCCAAAAATTTAAGAACTTGGTCAAAAAAAATGGAGATTTATCACAGAAATTGAAAGTTTGAATTGGTAAACAGTATATCAGTATACGCTTTGTCAAATGAACAGGTAAAGCCATTTGCCGAATGCAGCCGCGATTTGAATTCGAAAAAAACCAGATCGTAGTGCAACACACAAGAGGAGTCGGTGTCTTTTGCGAATTTAAAAGTCGTCTCCAGTGTGTTGAATATTGATTCACCAATCACAATAGACTGAAAGAGAGAACATGCTTGCAAGGCAGAATACTGTCTTGGACCAGCAGCGTATGTGCAAAATAAACGGGTCAAGTCCATAATGAATTCGTTCTTCTGAAGCCCCTCCTGAGGATTTCCTTCTATGTTGATAAAAAAATAGGCGGGTACTAATACTAATGCCGCAAAATGGAAGGCTTTCGGGAGAAGTTACAGTGTCTAGAAGGTTTCTTTGTTTTTTTTAAGGTTCTCGCTTGCCAGGAAACGGTGCTCTACACAGCATTATAAAAAGAAACTACATAGAAAATGAAGCTCTTTCTAGGGCATCAAAACCATCTCTGGCTCTTTCTGTTTAGTTCGTTTATGTGCTTCACATGCTACTACCTTCAGCAGCCGTGTAAGAAGAATGGGGAGAGGAAGTTTTCATGACTGCCGTGTAAGAAGAATGGGAGAGGAAGTTTCCATGACTAAGCAGTTAGTCGAGCGTTTGTGTTGCTTGCCATAAAAGATTTCAATCACCTATCTCAAGCCCTACATGAATTATCACACAGTAAGATCGATGGAACCTACGTGATACGACTGACGGCCGCGGAAGCACAGTAATTCGGGCGAGTGCGGTAACTACTCGTTCAGTGGTGGAAATCCGATTTTCGACGCTCGGCGAGCTATTCCGGTGGCGTTCCATGTATTTTCAATAATGTCTGACCGCCGACACCATGGTATGAAATGCCGATATTCTCTGACATCAGACACAACGTCAAACATCTGCTCACGGGAGAAACTGGAAATGTATCTGTACATATGTGCAAGGAAAACACACATATAATTCTTTCTGTTTTGCTCACTCTAAGAAAATAAAGGTTTGTTTTAATAAGCACAATTGACGCCCGCGTTGATTGCCACCCATGTTCAGATTTAATATTCACTGAACACGTGCATGCATATCTGGCAATGCACGAACAGTTCATGCGAGCAGTCGGCATGCAGATTGTTCAAAGCAAAAAATGGGTCAGTCACTGTCAAATGTGTGTTGGCTTTTATGCCAACCAATCGATGTTGCTAAATGAAGCTTTTCTGGGCGGCAGAGCCAACTGTTCGTCATTTTCGCAAAGAATTTTCACAGACTTTCTACCGCTCAGGTGATCTCCCCCGTTGGACATGGTACAACCAAAGGTTGGCCCTGCTGTCCATCTTCCATTCCTACTTTTTCAGGGTTTTGAAAATAAGTCGTAGCCTTAAGTTTTGCGAGCTACCTGATTATGTGCTTGGCTCTTAAGGTGACGAAACTTATCAATGGCAATCGCGAAATTTCAGCTGTAATCGACATGAAAAGAATTAATCGTTTCCCCGTCTTTATAACATTTTTGAATATGAAAATGTTGGCCAATGTGGGTTTGATACAGCCTGAGAACGAAAAATTTATATAAGGCCACGGAAGCACGTTACCGTTTATGAAAATCGTTTTTAGAAAAAAAAACCAACCTATGTGCATATCCGCAACGAGTAAAAATTGCACATATATTATTGGGCACAAAGATAATTTTTTGATAGACAACCCGGTGTCACTTAAATGTTATGAAACACAAAGAGGCACCAAAATTTATTCCAAAAGAGTCCCAAAAGTTCACAAATTATTCGAAAAACTCCAAAATTCCAAAAAACACGAAAAAGTTTCAAAAGAACTCCTTTGAAATCTTCTGCTATATTTCGGTGTTTAACACCTTCTTCAGGCCTGAAATACATTGATTTAATCACTGGTAAAAACAATATGATTGTTTCCCGAACCCATATATGTACCTACATGTGTATGCCTCAGCCAAGGATTTAGCTGCCCTTACGGGAGCCGCGCCGTTGGAGTGGAATTAAGTGACTTACCGCTCACCCTCTGCTTAAATAGTAGCGGACGGACTGTGACGGTCATTGCATGTGATATTGAAAAACCACGTGCATTGGGCACGTAGTTAATTTAATAGTTGTAGAGCGTCACGTAGTTCGTCCTTACTATTTATTTCGGGTGATAGTTTTCTTATTTCTAATGCCTCCAATAGCCTCCTTTCCACCGGGTTCCCTATGGAGCGGTGTAGCACCTTAATGGTCAACGAAGGCGGTTCCCCATATGTGTGCTTTGTGGTGCGGTGCTTGGAGAAGCTGCTGTTTGGATACGAGGCTGGGTTTTGTAATGCCCTTCTGTGTTCATCCAAACGCTTGTAAAGAGGCCTTTTTTTGTTTTTCGAGAGTTTTTTGGAATTTTTGGAGTTTTTCGAATAATTTGTGAACTTTTGGGACTCTTTTGGAATAAATTTTGGTGCCTCTTTGTGTTTTATAACATTTAGGTCCTGATGAGGCTCCGGGACAGCACAATACTGAGAAAGGGTGATCGTCAATGTAGTCGACTTAATGCAAAAGAGGAGCGTTTTCATGTCACCGAAATCTACCATCACCATAGTTTTGTGCACAGAACTGGAGAAGTGTCAAGTGCCAATGCTTTACCACGTAATGGATCCACGGTTTAATATTGGCTGGCTCCCGCTAACCACTTCAAAGGTCAAGCCGCATCAAATGCCATTACGATTCTACAGTGGAGTACGTGGCGCACACCCAAAAATTAAATAGCAACAGATACGACTGTTTGCCTTATGCAGTCCTTACACTACCATATTGAAATCGACATGGAATCGCTGAGCGACAACACGCAAATGAGGAACATGTAGCTGAAGACTGAGGCAACACCGAAGGAGGGGTACTCTACTGACGCACAGCAAACAAGAGACGCCGAAATTATCTGCAACAGTGACGGGAGACCAAAGGAAATCAACTATGTGGTCGCAAGAGGAGGGTTTCCAAAATCTGTGAAGGACATCAAGTTCTGCGTGCGAAAAACTGATAGCACAAGCCTCTCCTCGTAGACATTAGCCATAGATCTCCATAAGAACACAAAGGTAAGAACCGAGCGAAGAATTTGGTGGTGGACCTCTGAAGAAGGATTTTGGTGCTTATCTCCCATACCCTAACGGACCAGTTCGTCAAATCCAAAAAGGTTGTCCCACAGTGTGCAAAATTAGCACTGGCTGAAACGCGAGAAGAAGCCAAGAAAGACAGAGCAGCATGGATTTGAACCAAAGTCCTACAAATCGTGAAACAAAAGGGGAATATACAACCGCTGCCAGAAAACAGGGAACTTAGAGGATCTCGCCCTTTAAAGGTACAAAGTTCGTCAGCCTAGTCGTAACCAAAAAGGCAATGAATCCAAAAATGAAGCACCTTGTATGGGAAACTAGAGAGCCGAGGAGTACGCTTCCCAGCTGGCTAGAGCCTGGTATCGACTTACCTAATGCATCAGGTTAGTGAATGATGGAGCAGTGGGAAGAGCCGTGCTGAAAAAGCAGCCGAAGTGAAGCGCAGGTAGGAAGAGTACTTTAATCTCAACGCAAGATAGGCTCTCGACGAAGAGTTCACTCGCGGAGACAACTTACAAAAGGAGCGAAGCCTGGTTACATTTCACTCCAGATAGACGTCGCTCGCTGAGAAATAGGGAGGGTGAAGGTTGGTATGGTGGTTGGTCGAATGGATCCCAATTGAAAAACAGAAGATGCTCGCAGAGCAGAAAAGTAAGATAGCTAGCCCACAAAAGGTGTCTGACGTCAGGAAAACGAGCATTACCTTCCTAATGGTAAAGCAGAAGGGAGGAACGGAGCGCTCCAGCTATTGTGGAATCAAGTTTACTCACCTCACGCAATAGCATGAAGCATTAAAAGGCGAACAGTCGCTAAGAAGCCGAGGATAATGGTCAACTTAGCCAATTACTCCGGCCCCAAAGGTCCACAACAGATGCAGTCTTCATAGCTAGGCAGGTAATCCGAAGCATTGAGAAAAAAATGCAGACCGTGTCTCAAGGAGTGCTGAGGAGGGCGCTCAGAGAAGGAAAGATTCCAGAAAATATTGTCTCTGAGTGTGATGTGTACGTACAATGGGTCCGAGACATCTTATACGCACCCAGCACCGCTAGGAGAAATGGAGTAGTTGCGGTTGGGATACAGCGAACGGATCAGCCCATGAACCTGTCCTTTTTTCTAACTGCTGGGCTCATGGATCGGCCCTTGAATAATCTATAACTTTACAACTGACGACAGGACGACTTCGCCTTTAATGGCAAGCACACAAAGCAACACTCAGACAAGGTTCCAAAAAATGGGCAAGCGCTTCGGTTGAAACGTGAGAATTACTTTCCCGCGTTTGAGGAGTGCACGGATTCAATCGTGAACCGCCTGAAAGAGAAGTTCAAAAGAGCGAAATACCTCTAAGCTCGGAAAGAGATATGGCTAATGATGGTAGCAGCGATTAATGGTGTTGAATGATATGACGCTAGTAAAGGCCTTCGATGCCTGCGGCAACGAGCGCTGGCCCCAAAACATAATTACAAAGGCAGCTTCAGTCCGCGGAAATAAGGATGCTGAGATGAGGGCATGTGGCTGGACGCGACTGAGTGGGGTCAGAAACGAAGATCTTAATGAGCCGCTCTAGTTTTTTTGAGGGCAGTGAGGGCTCCAGAACCAGCGGCCAGTCGGGTGTAAATATGCCGTCCCCTGGCACATTTGCACTCAGGATTTAGTATGGTTCTGGAGCCCCCATTACCCCCACAACTAGAGGCTTTGCTCCCAATATTAGAGGTAATTATGCCGGGGGACAGGCTTATTTACCTATAGTATTGGAGGCGAAGCTTGAACTTCCTACTTTCTCTTTTTTTTTAGTTTCATGCTGAATTCCGTTCTCTCCCTGAGCTCCCCCCCCCCCAGAGTTGAAGGAAGCGAGCGAGAGAGCGAGAATGAACCCGCGAAGCCACCACAACCCCTCCAACTTTCACAAATAAGACCCCTGTCCCCTCATGAAAATCGCATTTGGAGCTGCCCATGTATGGCTCGGCCAGAAAGTGTTGCCGACCCTTTGAAAAAGAGCGGCTGCGATGGTACGGCACGTGCTGGATAATCACTCAACAACCCAATGAGGTAAGGAATACACTTGGAAAGCTGAAGCCATAAGCAGCCTGAGAGAAGGGGTGCAATGGATGTGATGAAGAGACCCTCAGTGGAGCCAAGGCCACGGCAAAAGGTACCGTTTACGTGTGAGAGGAAGTGACCAGCGTAGCCTGTGATGGCATGGAATGAATCCAAGGGAGAAGAAAACACAATGGCGGAATCCCATAATAAACTCGGTATGGGTATTTTGCTCTGCCTTTGCGTACGTTTTGGAGGCAGCAACTCTGAAGCGATTTTCATAACAGCAGCAACATACACTAGCGCAGAAACTGTAGCGCTGATAACCAATAAACGCGAACCGGGAAGCATAGACCTTCGATCGCAGAATGTATTTCTTTACTTTTGAGTTGTGCAATCGATGACCTCAAAATCCTGAAACTCTATTATTTTTCACCGAAACTTTCGAATTTTTTTCAAAATAGAACTTATAACATGCCTTCAGGTCATTGTAGACCTTTGGCAGACCACATTTTGACGATGTCGCATTTAAACTCTATTACTGAAACAGCAGTAACCTACAAACTTCCAAGTAACATGTGAAAAAAAGAGTAATGGCAAACCCTATGAGACGCTTTTCAGAGTAGACCATTTCATGATTAGTGAACAGTCGTTTTGTGACCATGACACATCTTCTAGAACACCGATAGAAGAGATTCGTGAATCATTAGCTACGGATTTAAATTCTTAATAAACTATTGCCATCTGATATCCCAGGAAAAAAAGTTTGTGTATTATGTAATTCGCAGATACCGTTTGTTGAATATAACATTAGAACGAGACATTCAAATCATAATTCAAATCAATTTCAATTCAATCATTCAATTCAGAAAAAAGGGAGGTTGTTACAATCAGAGAATTTTTTTTAAAATAAAAATTTTAAAATTTTTTTTTTTTTTTTTTTTTTTTTTTTTTTTTTTTTTTTTTTTTTTTTTTTTTTTTTTTTTTTTTTTTTTTTTTTTTTTTTTTTTTTTTTTTTTTTTTTTTTTTTTTTTTTTTTTTTTTTTTTTTTTTTTTTTTTTTTTTTTTTTTTTTTTTTTTTTTTTTTTTTTTTTTTTTTTTCTTGTTAATGACACCCTCGCCCAGCAACAATATATCGCAGTTGATACTGCTTCCATTGTACCCACTGGTAGCGAACCTGCTTCATATAAACTCCTTCAGGCTGCGCTGATCAGATGCCATATCAGACCAGAAACAATCTCCTAAAGATCTTAAGGTCTGGAAGTGTCACTTGCATTACTAAACAAGGCGTCAGGAAGCGCAGCTGAAAGGCAGTGATGAAGATGGCTGGAGGAAGTTGCTTGAGCCTCTTTGCGCATTTAAGGGTCTAGATCACCAATGACGTTCAATACGTCATCAAAACCGCACCACCCTTCACCACCGTAATCACTGAAGTTGATTATGACAAAGGTAAGATTGCTGTCTGTTGGGAAAGGGAAACTTGACACAAGGAATAGGGAGATGGCGAGCAATGGCAAAAGCTCCCGCTTGTTATTTCCGTCGTTGTTCAGGCTAGCAACACAGATTACTATTAAGCATCAGCATCTCTCTTCAACATCTACATCTACACATTTATATCGGTCTCATTTTTTACTTCCCTACGAACGGGAAAATTTTGGGTTGGTGAACTTTCATTTGAAATACATAAACCAATATGTTCGCCATTTTCGCTATGCTATTTCAGTGAGGCAGCGAACCTCAGTGATGAAGCATGAAATGAATGAAAGCATTTGGAGGACTCTAGACAAAAAGATGGATAATGAAATGGAAAGATGACTTCGCAACACACACGGATTTTTCTCTACAAAAAATGGATATGATAAGTTTTCGGGACAGCTTCACAAGTTTTCAAGCAAAGATATTTTTACGACCCCAAATCTTATTGCTCTGCATAAAAAACCCACCAAAAGGAAAAAATGCAGATCAAATTTTCTTTGGCAAGCTTTGTAAAGAAATGAAGGCTTAAAGCTCTTATTTGAAACTTAGCGATTTTAATCCAAAGACACCTAAATTCTAAAAATTGTCCACTCAACAAAAGGTCGTTTCACAATAAGTTACGTTCGTTTGAGGAGGTGTAAAAGTTTTGGCTTCTCTCCCACTCGGATATATCGATAACACGATCCTTCAGTATGCAAGTAGTAGCACAATTTCAATATACGCACTTTCGCAGCATGGAAACCAAATGAAAAGGCATTGCGAATCCTACGCGTGCCATACTTGAAGGTTAATTGTTCTCAACGCCATTGTTGACCCTATTCGAACTAGATCCACCCAGTGAAAGTGTCAGCCATGGCTATCTGCTTTTTATATCCGCAGCCTATGTCAGTGAAGAGCGGTGCAGCTAGATTCAAAAGTAGTGATCAGCTGGCCAATCATTACAGTGCGACCGAAGCCTCCCACCTGCGCTATAAACTCGAAAAAAGGCTGTTAAGCTCAGTGTCTGCTCACCTCTCATCAGCAAACTGCAAGAGCCGAATCGCCGCAGGAGCCAATGGGGAGATGACCGGTAGACGTTGGTACATGCATTGTTCATTATGAGACAAGCATAAGTTTTTATGCTTACTCATCAAATGTGTTTGAGCCACCCTGAAATAAAAAAGAGTAAGTCTACGTGAGCCCAATGAAGAGTCCCTAACCTTAGCACTATCCATGCGAATACCACAGACGAAACAAAGATTGCCATAGGTAGACTTGAGACCCAGATCGTGGTGAGAGTAGGACATATGCCATGCCAGAACCTGGAAAAATAGCTCTGGAAATCACTTCGCTACTTAAACTATTGCTTACATGAATACCTGTACGGAGTTGAATACGCGGCCACACATGGGAACACAGCAAGTTATTCTTTCAATATCGCATTCACCAATGAGACGACGTAATCTCTGTTTTATCAGCGGGAGAGAAGTAGATTCATTCTCAAATCCGATTGAAGAGTACGTTCCTTCTAAACAATGACAGTCAGAGTGGTTCGAGTAAGCTCACAGCAATGCATAGCAAAAGTATCAACAATCGCTGGACCTGAAGTGGCCAACTGGGTCAGGGTAGAAGGCACAACACGTGCCTTCCATTGGTGGATGTTCGTGAACGCCGCCACGTTTGAGCAGCACTTGATCAATGTTAACGAAAACCGCCCATGGCAAGCAACCTTTGGCTCAGCTGTACACCAGCCGTGGTTCCTCACCATCAGTCTTTTCCAGAAGACTGTATGCCTTAAGAAGTAATGCTGGTACTAAATACCGATTTGCGAATCTTCTCAGCATATCTTCTAGCCACTTCCGAGATATAAGCATGTGGTACTTCCTCTCTGTGATACTGGATCGCTGTGTGCCGATTTGCATCCACACCCACAGGAATCTCAAAAAAAAAAAACTATTACTTCGAAACGATAGAACATTTATCAAACTCAAATTACCTGCATTCCGGGCGTAGCCTCAGTAACTTCTTCAGTGATTTCGTTAGGCACACTGCTGTACGGTCCTTGAATATAAAATTGTTAGTAACAGCTTATCAAATATGGAAGTTAAACCATACTTTGCCTTCTTTTGCGTAAATTTGCATTTCTCGAAGTAGAAGGAGAGAAAATACTATGGCACTCCATTGAAAACTAAACAAGAGAGGGAATTACTACACCAAAATATCGTTGATATTTTTACATGCGAACGCAAAAGTGCGAAAAAATGAAAAATAAAACGGTACTAATGTGGCAAACTTCAAACACTATTGATGTATTACCAGGTCCTGCAAACTAATTAGAGGTCAAAGGTGAGAATTTCATACTTAACCAGTTCGATATGTCACATG